CAACGAGATGCTTCAGATTTTCAGTTTGCGAAACATGAGCTCAGTTTACAATCTTTACAAGCAAGATTAGAAATAAACAGAGGGTCAAGCCTCAGCAAAACATTACAAAGCCCCGATGACTGAGTTAGCACAGCTAAATCAATGCACTATGTTACTTCCTGTACCAGCAAGCTGGAAGATGCAGTTAGGAAAGCGGCTACACAGTGCCTTGATATCTCCTGAGGTCATGACAGAATCTGCAGCGAGATGCTTCAGGTTTTCTAGTATATTCATCACCATCGAAAAACTACAGGGAAGTTGAATAGCTGTAGCACTAACAGAACAATAATCTTAGTGCAAAAGCTTCAGCATTTGTACAATTCTTCAGAGAACAGAGGTTGTGCTGAACGTTTCATCGGACAACTAAATAGTTGAGGTACAATTCTTTAGATAACAAAGGTTGTGGCCGCCTCGCCTCGGGCCTCGTTGCTGCAGGAAGTCTCGGAGTTGGGGAATTACAAGATGATTTTGTCTAATCACTTAGAGAATAGAGGGTTATCCGCTAATTGCGCTTAAGTGGATAGTTAAGGATCCCACCTTTAATCGGTGGCGTTCGTTACAGATCTGAGGGTCCATGTAGGAACTTTCAGATTTTCACTGAATACCTATTTCACTAGATACTTCGCCAATATCAAGCATGCAATGAGATCCAATTCTGCGTAAAAGTTAAGTTAATGCAAAGCAGGAGATGAACATTCTGAAAGAACAATCAGCAGTTATGTGGTTTCACTAGTACAGACTATAGAACTACAAAAACAAGTGCTCACCCAAACAGTTTACAAAGAAACAATTAGGATGGGACTCTTCCCAAATGGTTCTGCCAACATAGTTTTTTGATATTTGTGCTACTAGTATCTATGCGTGATGTGGCTCAGTGGGTGTTACTAATTACTCTGCTCCTACCATGGAGCAGAGCTCCTGCAGGTTGCACAACCGGACATCAAACCTTCACACCGATTAAGCCACAAGAAATCAAACTAAAGATCAATGAATCTCAGTAATTTCTGCACCAAGACCTGAGAGAGCACAGCACAATGGTGAGGACCAATACGAACCTGGGGCGCAGCTACCCTGGGCAGGATGGCTGTACTCGTGCTTGCTCTAATTAATCCACCTGTAGGTTGGAGACGAAATTGCTCGTTGCAGCAGCCGATTCCTCCGACCTTCCCGCCCAATCGCCGCCGTTGGCCCCAACGCACACGCCGGCCGGTCTCTGTCCCCGACCTCCACGGCCTCCAATCGCCCGCCCGCCCGCCCGCCTGCTGAGTCTTCGTCAGTCCGCACACCAAGCCAATCAATCCCCATTCATGAGATTGAGGCGATGCACATCAGCGGACGGATTGGAGGGATCCCATTAGATGGATTGAGATGGATTAGGAGGTGGAAGAAGAGGAGAAGTGGAGAGATGGCGACGTGGGCGAGGAGAAGTGGGGAGAGGGCGGCGTGGCAGAGTATATTGCGGGGATATTCTGAGCGTTGGCGCGCTATTTCTTGGCGGCAGATGGAAAATATGAGCGCTAAATGCTAAAATAATTACCTCCCAATAAAATACAAGAAACTTATACCTCCCAATAAAATACGGGAAACTTAGTTTGGAAAGGGCGTATTTGTTTATGTTATATACACAACCAAACAGAAAAAGAACCCGTGATCACTTGATCTATGTGGTCTAGTCGATGGGTTCGTAGCGGCTTTGTGGATCGAATGTAGCATTTTACAAGGGCGACGACAACTCGTCCTCCACACGGCATTCGATTTGGACACCGTAGTTGGGTGCAGGACTCCAGCTCCGCCTTCATATGACAGAGAGGCGCGGTGGTGGCGAGGGCGACTCCTCCTTCACGTGTGCTGGTGGTGGCAAATGCCACGTCGGATCATGACCCCAGAGCGACTGCTCCATCATGAGCTCCATCTGGCAGATGTACTCAGCATCTGTGATGTAGTGCGGTGTGAACGGTGCTGAACCACACTTAAATAGGCACGGCTAGACCAGGCGAAGGGACGAGAATCCATGGGAAGTCGGCTTCAATGCGGCACAACGGCTGGAGTAGGCTTCTTGGTCGCCACCTGGTTTGCGATCGTTTTGTGGGAAAACGAATAACTGAATCGGTCTGCAGACCGATGGGGTACCCTGCTGGATGGCGAATTGCATCCAAATCGCTCGCTCCAGAAGGTTGTGGGCGATTTAGGGTTCCGCCATGAAGGTTGTGTGCAATGGGAGGAGGGTTTCGACCATATTGCCAAGGAGGTGGAGCAAGGCGACACGTAGAGCTAGCTGAAATGAGAACCAAGAAGGTGTCTTTGATCGCCTCGTCGCCCTCAACGCACACACAGACATGTTTCCATACCTAAACTTCGTGACTTTCAAATCACCCTCCTTTCGCTAAATCTCCGATATTCCGCCACCAAACCAATTGATGGCCGCTCCAGATGGATTTCTGACAAACCCTACCCTCATATGTCCTCGTCGGTGACAAATTAAACGCCACCAAGGTAGGGAGAGGTCGGATAGACCTTATTCAATGCCACGTGTAAAACAATAAAACTATGGAAAATGAGAACATACTCAACCTCGGGATGACAGGGGCGGGTACATACTCCTCTTATCACTAACAAGCCGCTAGACAGGAAAGAGCGGGGTTTTTCAATTTAAATTTTTAACTGGTTTAGAAAAAAATGATTAAAAACTTCCCCGAATACTACTCATCATGTGGTTGTCCTCGTGTCAAAATTTCATAATTTTCTGTACACTTTTTTCGGTTCATTTTTTGGCCAAATAGGGGCTGATTTGGTTTTTCAATTTAAATTTCAATCGGTTTGGCACAAATGATTGAAAATTTCCCAGAGTACTGATCATCATATGGTTGTCCTTGTGTAAAAATTTCATAATTTTCTGGACGCTTGTATTTCGGTTCAAATTCTAGGCCAAATTTTGGCTAAAAATGAAGAATGACCGAATCTATCAAATGGTGACTCCAAATTTGATGAAAATTCACAGAATACTAGTAATCATATGGTTATCCTTGTGTCAAAATTTCATCAAATCCTGGACACTTTTTTTGGTTCATTTTTTGGCAGCTGGATCATCAGCAAAGAACATATCTTTGGTTATGTGCATGCCGATCACCATTGATTTTCCTTTTGCCGATACGTTAAGTTGTAATGCTATGAACAACAGCCGAGAAGCAATATGGACAATGGTGCAAACACCACAAAAATGAACAGAAGGAAACTTCACGCTGAACACATAAGACATTGTAGGCATGCTATACATGGACTAAGCCATATTTACCAGCAAGACAAGGACCATGGCAGCATGAACCATACTCAAGAATACAAGATAAGTTCAGCTACCAACATAAAAAATGATCATGCCTCCAGACTCGAGCATCTGGGACTGATTTGAAGTGAGACATAAATGCAGCTATCATACCATCTTCACAAACCACATGCAAAGCATAAAAATAATGTATCCATGTCTAGTGTCTTGCACAATTAAAACCCAAGTACACTTGGGTTGTGCCCTGAAGTAGTACGAAAAAAAGACACTGATACATGAGCAAATGCAAATGATGGTTCAATGTAATCCTCTCCATGGCAAACCCACTTAGTGTAACTTTGAAGAATACCATCACATCTCCAGTGAGTCTTCACTCCATCATAACTCTGCATAGCTTTATTTCGGCAATTTACACAAGGACAAAGAATTCTATCACCAGCCGGAACATCACGGAATGCAAAAGACAGAAATTGCTCGACACCATCTTTGTAAGCAGCACTAGCTCTTGGTTGACTCATCCAACCTCGATCCATCGCCCTTTGATATGCCTAAGTAATGAAAAAAAATATGTCAGTGTATAATTTTACATGTATTATTTAAGAGATGAAAGCTGATTTAAATCTCTTTGTAAGAAAAGCATGTAATACATAGATATTTTAATTGAATGATTGGATCCAAATATATTTCATTAACCTTGCACTAAAAAACTTCAAAATAAATGTGCCATTGGTAGGTTTAACTAGTATGCAAAGGCGCCATTCAGTTCAATACAGTTGCACATATGCTGCCATCTTTCTCCCCCTAATCCCAACTCTGGCTACATCGAAAGGAAACACACACCACATGAAGAAACAAAAATATAAAACAGGACACATGATTGATATTATCTATGCAAGACCTTCAATTATCTAGAAAAACTTTTTCTTTCTAATCGTTGTAGGGACTTATTTCCTTCTGCAACTACTAAGATTGTTGGACTATCTAAGTATCCAAACTGAGCATAAAAACCATATTATAGGGTGCTTTAATAAACAACTATGTTAACTTCACTGCTTTATATCATCATGTTATTTATGATCTTGTGAGCATCTCAGATAAGCACCATATACAAAAATCAAGGTACAATAGAAGATAAAAAAAGGCCAATGATCACAACCAGTACAGCAGAATTATACAACAGAATTGATAAAAAGATGCCAAAAACTTCAAAAAACAGTATGGGGGTACAACAGAGTTACTTTCTCGATTGAGATTGAAGGCGGGTTGTTTGAAATCAAAGGCGGTGGTCCAATCTACGGTTGTTCAAATTTCTGGAGTTCATTCAGACTAACTGAAACACCGGGTGTACACACTTCCGTTGAGGGCACCAATGAAATATATCTTCCCCTTCTATTTCTACAAGATCAAATGAAATTGATATTAAAATGTGCTCCCTTTCAAATCAACAATACATTATACATATACACAGTCCCTTGCATATACGCTACTCCCTCCGTCCCATAATATAAGACGTTTTTGGAGTTCTGCAAAAACGTCTTACATTATGGGACAGAGGTAGTAGTACACAGTTTTTCAGTCCAAATTCAATTTAATTTTCATCATACACTGATCAGCAGAACAAAAGGGGGCAGGTAGAGCTTTCTTAGGAAATTACCTGTGTCCCAGCTAGCTTGCTATTTGTTCACGGGAAGTCCTGGGTGGCAGAGTCCGCCCGAGCAGGCGAGCACCACCGGGAGAGGTCGGAGCAGACCGCCAGAGCCGGCGCGGGGGGCTGGCTGGAGCAGGCGAGGAGCACCACGTCCCTGGCGACTAGGCAGAGGGCCGGGAGCGGCCGGGGAGCGCCGAAGCAGAGGGGCCGGTGGCAGTCCTTGCGGAGGGCGTTCACCGGCGGCGGGCGGCGGCGCACTGGCAGGACCATAGTATGAGGCACGAGCTGGAGTTGGTCGCTGGAGGTGGTGGAGATTGGCTACGAGGAGGCGCCGGGCTGGATGAGGAACTAGTCCGGTGCGCCATAGATGGGCAGCTCAGGACGTGGCGGCGGATGAGGAGGAGTCAAGGAGCTGGAGTTCGGTTCGTGGGCTCCTTTACTGCACAAACGGGCCAGGTAATTTCCAATTTCTACACATTCTTTACATGGTTTTATTAATTTATTTGTTAAACTCCTTTTTTATCCTATAAAACGTCTTAAATATCGTCTCTGCCTATTTACACATGTAAAAACTAATAAATAGGATATACCTCAAAAATAAGATTCCTGACGTTGTATTTTTCGTCTCAAGAAGCGTGTCTACACACTATATGTTTCCTAGTATAGCGACGAATATAAAAACGTCTTAGAAAAAGCATGCCTACTGACATGTTTTGTTGTAGTGATATACTTCCCGAGGGGTTCCGGTAACCTCCCGGTACTCCGGTATATGTCCAAACATAGGCTTCCAATATATCGATCTTTATGTCTCAATCATTTCGAGACTCCTCGTCATGTCCGTGATCATATCCGGGACTCCAAACTACCTTCGGTATATCAAAATACATAAAATCATAATACCGATCGTCACCGAACGTTAAGCGTGCGGACCCTACGGGTTCGAGAACTATGTAGACATGACCGAGACTCATCTCCGGTCAATAACCAATAGCAGAACCTGGATGCTCATATTGGTTCCTACATATTCTATGAAGATCTCTATCGGTCAAACCGCATAACAACATACGTTGTTCCCTTTGTCATCGGTATGTTAATTGCCCGAGATTCGATCGTCAGTATCTCGATACCTAGTTCAATCTCGTTACCGGCAAGTCTCTTTACTCGTTCCGTAATGCTACATCTCGTAACTAACTAATTAGTTACATTGCTTGCAAGGCTTATAGTGATGTGCATTACTGAGAGGGCCCCGAGATACCTCACCGATACACGGAGTGACAAATCCTAATCTCGATCTATGCCTACTCAACAAACACCATCGGAGACACCTGTAGAGCATCTTTATAGTCACCCAGTTACGTTGTGACATTTGATAGCACACTAAGTGTTCCTTCGGTATTCGGGAGTTACATAATCTCATAGTCATAGGAACATGTATAAGTTATGGAGAAAGCAATAGCAGCAAACTAAACGATCAGCGTGCTAAGCTAACGGATGGGTCAAGTCTATCATATCATTCTCTAATGATGTGATCCCGTTAATTAAATGACAACCCATGTCTATGATTAGGAAACATAACCATCTTTGATTAACGAGCTAGTTAAGTAGAGGCATATTTGTGACACTTTGTTTGTCTATGTATTCATATATGTACTAAGTTTCCGGTTAATACAATTATAGCATGAATAATAAACATTTATCATAATATAAGAAAATATAAATAACTACTTTATTATTGCCTTCAGGGCATATTTCCTTCAGCAACCACCATGTAAACTTCTCCATGCAGCCGCCATCAGCGACTGCTCCCCGCCTTAAGTCGCCACTCACTGGCCTCTTGTCGGCATCGATTGCTCCTGGGAAGAGGATGTCGTCCTCATTGCGATTGACTTTGCGGTGGGATCACCACCCCCTCTGCACTATCCAGCACGCTCGTTGTCGTTCCCGAGATCCATGTCCTTGTCGAAGGCTACAAAGTCACGAAGGGAAGTGGAAAGAATGTGCTCCCTGGTACGGCGTCAATGGGCTCCCGACCATGCTCCGTTTCCCTCCATCCCCTTCCAAGACCATGGGAAGCCCACCAATTTTTACAGAGGCCCCTTTCTTCCGCGTGTCCGGCAGAAATTGTCAGAGCACCGATCTTGAGCATGTCGTGCCGCCGGTGTGCCATCTTTCAATTAACCTTGTCTCCAGAATCTTCTATGTCTCTCTAACTTCATTATGTCGTCAATTTCAGGAATGAGCAACATCGATGATCCGTTCGTCTAGCTCTACTGCCGCCTATATCAGACCCCAACACAGCTCCCGACCTTCTTGTTCCCAGCAATCTATCCAAATAGAAGATGTGGTCTGGAAGCTCCCTAGCAGCCCCGCAACCTCCCCGTGTCCATACAGACCACATCATCTTCTTTGCTAGCTCCTGCTCGTCTGCACAACTTCTCCCGCACCGCTAGCCTAGCACTATCACCGCCCGCCGCTACAACACCCCGTCCTGGAGGTTCTCTGGCGGCCCCGAGCCTGGGTTCTTCTCCCCTACTGACCAGCTGGAACCTCACGTGGGGGCTTACAGCCGCGCTGCAGGTTTACGATCACTAACGGGCCCAAGTGGCGGTTGGAGGCGTCCTAGGCGGTGCACCGGGGACCGGGTTCAGGCTCGGGGTGGAACTGCATCGAGATTTGAGAGAGAGATTGGGGGGTGGGAGTTTAGATAGTACATGTGTGAGTTGGCATGCCCAGTCAGCATTGACTTCGATCAAAACCGGTTGACCAACCTAAAACGAGGCTGGGGTTGTGTTTTAAACTTTGTGATAAGTTGAGGGTGCAATTTGACCAGTTTCAATTATAAGGGATGTAAATCAAAACGAGTGGTTAGTTCGGGGTTAGAGTGTAGACTTTTTTGTTTCTTTCTTTGGGCAATGGCAAATTTCTTTTCTTTGGACCATGACAAATTTCTTTTTTTGGCCCATGGCAAATTTATTGAACAATTCATGGTATATTAGTATCGTTCTTTATCATGGCAAATTTATATTTGGAACATGGAAAAAATTGTGCCATGGCAAATTTTATATTTGGATTATGGCAAATACATATTTGGACCATAGCAATTTTTCGGTACCATGGCAAATTTATTTTTTTGACCATGGTCAATAATTTTTGGAACATGGCAAATTTTTTGAACAAACAATGGTAAATTTCTTTTTACACCATGGCAAATTTATTTTGAACACCCCATGGCAATTTTTTTCATAAGACTATTTCATAAATTTTCCTTTTTAATACTTTTTTGCCATCATCTTATGAAACAATGACAACATAGGTTCAAACATAATTGTTGCGTGTTCTTGTTTGTTTTTAATTTGTGACAGATTTAGTTTCTCATGCATGGACACTGTAAATTTTCATGTATGGCATTTAGGTATGGCATGCAAACTTATGTTCAAAGAAACATCCAACCTGCTGATAAATTTATAAATTAGAGGATGGCAGTTTAATAAAGTATAGCATGGCTATATTATAAATTACAGAACTGCAATTGTAAATTTTATGTTTTCTTTGCCATTTTCTGTAAAAGAAAATGTTTTTTCTGTTCATGGCAATTTGTTCGCGATAGAGGCCATGCATCCGTTTGCCATTTCTCAAATAAAAAGCCCATCTGTTTGCCCTCAATTGACCGGCGGATTCCCCTCGAATTTTATTTTTTTTGACCGGCCGGTACGTACGTACTGCATGGGTTGGTTTCAGATCGATGCAGACCGACACGCACAACAGTACAACAGTACAAAGAGCTATATATCTCATCTCACATAAACTCAAAGCGCGCGCCGACCGGCCGGTCGAGCAGCACTCCGACTCGGACACTAAAAATCGCCTGTCGTCGTTAAATTGTACGCACCTACGACCTAAGCAGTGCGCTATCTGGTGATAGTACGTAGTACCATCTAAAAAAGGGAGCTAGTGCGTACGAACACGAACACGCAGGTCGATCCCTGATTCCCGATCGATCATGGTTGATATCGAGAACCCGCCTGCTCCCAACAACAGTTCTGCCACAGATGCCGCCGACGGCGGCAACGACGCGGCGATGGCGGAGCCAAGCCGGCACAGCTTCTGGGCGTGGAAAGAAAGGTTTATCATCCGGTTCCGCACCAATGACCATCCTGACACCGGAGAGGAGGTCGCGGCGGTGGACGCTGATCAACTTAGCAGGCATATCTTCGTATATGGGGGCCTTCTGGTCGTGTTCGTGATCATCGCCGTCTCCGTGGCCATGCTGGTGCTCGTCTACCGACAGTCGCACTCCACCGCCGGAACGGTGGTGTACGTTGTCACGCGCATCCTTGGGTTCTCGGGCCTGGTCGTCGCGGTATGCTGGGGTGCCTTTTTTATTCATCTTTCAGACGCGATGGCTCAGGGGGATAAAGAGGCAGAGGGGGTTGTAGATTGCTTAATGTAAATTTAAACTATAGAATATTTCCCGTTTTGATTACGTGTCTAGCGTTGTTGTCGGAAGCATGGAAGGTGTGTCTTCGTCGAATCTCACCGGAATTGGTTGGTGCTGATTTTTGATGGATCTGATTAGATCCAGTTTTGGTTTGTGCATTTGCATGTTTGATTCTTTCAATCTACGACTTTTTTCGTCAACCATGGTTGCTGCTCTTGTATGCTGGCCATGTGGTGGTTCAGCACGACGATTTTTTAACTGTCTACTACAACAAAATTTGTCCAACTTCATTGATGAAGGGGCGATGATAGTGGGACGTCTTCAGCTCACTCTAGTGTTTGTAGTCGTTGCTATGTGGTCCACGTACCTCATTATAATTTTTGTTATCTTTGGTAATTTCTGTACTGCCATGCTATGTGTACACCGAAAGTTTTCCCAAAAGAGAAAAAAAAAGGATAGAACATGTTCATTGTTTTCTCTTTTGTGTGATAATAGAACATATTCTATTATATGGGAAAGGTGGGCTATGCATTTGATGGACCACGATAGATAGAAATGGGAAGCAGCGATGGGAGGTGGAGCTGATGAACTATGTGAAGCAAATGGCGAGCTCGGTCTGCGCTACTCGAGGGATTCCTTCTACCGAAATGAATGTGTGGACCACATCGACATCCTGTACTCATACACACTCGCGCCCATAGGTATCTTTCTGTACTCCTACACACTTGAGCCCAACAGGTGGCTTAACAATGTACTCTCTCCGTAAACTAATATAAGAGCGTTTAGATCACTATTTTAGTATTCTAAACGCTCTTATATTAGTTTACAGAGG